ATAATTATCTTAGAACGTTTTGGGACGGATGCTTGCTTCAAAAATATATTTTAAAAGTATTTATAATTTATATATTTCCTAAAAAATAGTACCAGAATATGGTAATAAGAAACACGATGCTGTGAAGTCTATAGGCTAGAAAGGAAGTTGGAACAATGGTGACTTTCTCTTCCAGTGAACTTGCAGTTTGTTATTTGTAATAGCCATATTTCATAATAATTTCAGTACACTACTGAAGAATTACTGCACTATTTAGCACAACAGTTAACATAAAGTTAAACCCGACACATAAAACAGTCAAACCCAACTGATATGATTGGGGTCTGATATGGTACGTTGGGGTCTGATATGGTAGGTCGGGGTCTTGTATTGTATGTTGGGGTCTGATATGGGGGACCTGATATGGTAGGCCACGTTCCAACTCTAATAGCATGTGTAGCTGAAGGGTGAATTTCGATGAATTTGTATTCCCGCCAAGACAGGGTCAGATAAAGGCTTCATCCTATTGGTCAATCGACTATTCCTTTGGGATCCAAGCTTTCCCTGAACTACAAATCACGCGAGGGAAAGCCAGAATAATATGTCAAGAAACTACTTGCTTCTAGCCACAATACACACAAAACAACAATGTAATACCAAAAAACCCAAACTTGAGGCTACAAACAATAACGCTTATTCTTTTGACAGGAGCTCAAAAACTGTACTCACGAAGCAGTTCGAGATTCATGTCAAACGTCTGGTCCAGTTCCTTCGACAGCACAGTCTTGATCTTGTTATTGATTTCATTAACAACACATTGAAACCTGACACAGAAATCAAGTGTGCATCGCTTTGAAACTTTGCTTTAGAGGAGCTTTTGAAGTTTCCTTTTCGATCGGTTTCCACTCACGTCGCTTTTACCGCGTTACATTGTCTTTCTACGCCAGCGGTTTTCCACATGAACAGTGCGCACGCACGCGTTTAGACGCCGCTCGACGCCCGACGGGAGTCCTCAGCCGTGCGAAAGACGTCTTATACCTGGGAAGATTTTAGAGGGCGCCGTTCTTGTTTTTTCAAACAGCCCGTTCGAGATGTCACGTCGAAGAAAGGTAAGATCTTAAAAGATTAGCGAACACGGTAAAGCGTTGTTTTAGGCGGCTTATTGTTCGCCAAAGGGAAAATTAAAGGCGAAAATAAAAATTTTTCGGTATCGTGCAGATTCAAATAAAAAAAATGTCGGATGACGTGGAAATCATACAGGATGTTCGGGGAGATCTCTATGACAAGATTGTTTTCGTAGCCTTCTGAAGGCAAATGAACGAAGTGGAATGTAAGTCTTATAGAGAGAAAACGCTTACATGTTAACCTTTAGCTTTAATAATATTTCACTTTTACTTTGTAATCTTACGTACAAGCGCGCTGAACGTAGAAACGTATTTACCGAATATCCACACCCTGTCCCGTTGGACTTGGTTAGATAAAGATTAAGATTAAATCTGTGGATGAAGAGTAATTTCCATTTAAATTAACTAAAGGAATCAGCTTTGAGATCAAAACCAAAATCATCCGTAATGTAGCTAGTTTCGATGTTTCTTCTCATATACAAGACATAATTAGACAGTCAACAAGATTTTTTTTAAATTCTTCCTACCAGTAACAGTAGTATATGGATCTGAAGACGGGAGATTTTGTATTTTGATCTTGATTCTTTTTTTAAAAAAAGATATGTGTTCTCTAATGGTCAGTGGGACACCCTGATGATTACAGTATGTTTCTAAAGGAATTGTTCAATGAAAAAAAGTGATGTTTTCCCATATCTTTGTTTGGTAGTGCAGCATTACGTACAGCTGTGCAGTGACTGCTGTAATCCAAACAAAACAAGGCATGTTGGCTATGTACCACCTGGTGAATGCAATGATTAGTAAAGACATTATATAGTGCCTATTCCAGTGTCCTCATGGTTGGTGTGTTCGCCTTTGGATTGAGCGGTCTGGGTTCAAGCCCTGGGCAGAGACATTGTGTTGTGTTCTTGGGCAAGACACTTCAGTCTCACAGTGCCTCTCTCCACCCAGTTGTATAGATGGGTACTGGCAAATTTATTGCTGGATTAACATACCCTCCAAGGGAAATAGGAATACTCCTAGTTGCTTCATGCTGTATAGAAACAGGAGATAAGCGCCAGCCTTACGGGCCACTTGGCTCACATTTAGTCTTTACCCTTACCTTACCTTACCTTACCTATCTAGGAGTCCACTCTGATGGATTTAATATGCAACATCCCCAAAAATTGAAAGTTTATGTTTATGTCACACTGTTCTATTTTTGGAACAGAGTGCAGTGTTAATTGAATCGTCAGCACAGACATGCCCCAGGGATAAAAAAACAGAAAACGATACAACAAAGATGAAGGATTCAAAAACAGAGTGGAGTGAAGAAGAAAAGAAAAGACTCTTGGATGCTTTAAAAAAGTATTGTTTTGTTGTCTTGATCTCCTGTTTAAATTGTATTTGAGTGGATGTTAAGTATATTCATTTTTATTTTTCTGTAAACTTCTGCTTGTCAGAACTAATAAAGTGACATAATATTGGCTAGGAAAAATGATCAGAGTAAGTCTGGTGGAATCCAATTTTTTTTTCTGCCACACTGTAAAACATAAAGCAATTTTTTTGTGATGAAAACTGGACATCCTATGTACAGTATAGAACACAAAATTGTATAACGAATAGAGCTCAGTGTTGAAAACTAGAGAATATCACTTGGAGGATATAATCAGATATTCCCAGTTTTAATTTTCCTTTACCTTCATGTGCAGTGGTTAGATCAGTTACAGGCAAGAAAGACTGTATGATGGATTGTAACAATGTATATTTTCTACAAAGTCCTTCACCACCAGCAGGTAGCGTGCATACACAGACTTTCAAAGTGCTTAGTTTATAACTCACTTACACATATTTTCTTGTAACTTTTGAACAGAGATGAAGGTGACAAAAACTGGCGCTGGATTGCCAGACAAGTTAAAACAAAGACAACAGCACAGGTTAGAGATGATAGGGAGTTTATGGGTCCATGATATACTTGTTGAGCTCATTAAGAGACTATTATGCATCTATATCAGGAAAAACAACAAAGTCTCCCTCAAGTGGACATACCTTGCAGGGCCGTGACTGTCTACTTCAGGGAGATGTCAATCTGAAGAGAGGATACACTACACATTTATGTACATATGTAATAGGTCAACTTCATCAGGGTGCAAAGAAACTTGTGCCTATTAGCCAAGGACTAAAAGTGGATTTTGCAATCAGGCTAGACAGTGTATTCTGTCATTTGCTTGCCCAACATGCCAGCAAGTGAATTTTTTTGGGGAGAACATCTTTAATAATTACGTGTAACCTTAATACTAAGAAATTTTTTTGGGGCTAGTGAGAATGCTTTTTGTTCTTAGTACATGTGTCCCTCTTTCAAGTCTTAACTGGCTTGGTGTTGTTTCAAGTGTTGAATTTTAACTTTCCTTCTTGCAGGTGAAAGAGTTTGCGTCTAAACTTGAGCCAGAAAAGAAAGGTTTGTAATGGGTACTGCTTGGGTAACAACATACTGTGCTTTTTTTCCCATACTAAGTCATATGTATCATGAAATATGTATATGTATAATATATCATATGTATGGGTTATTGACCAAGTGTGAGGTCAAGATGGCTGGATATTGGCCAAGTTCTTTTTATGTGTGTTTATGGACTGAGGTGGAGTTGAGGTCCAGAAACTCGCAAAAAAAGAACAAGGCCAATATCCAGCCATCTTGACTGAACAAGCTTGGTCAATAAAGCATTTATTATATGGCTTTCGGGGAAATTTTTCTTGCGGAACACGGCGGGTAGCCAATCACAGTGCAGGATTTGATTCATATTGCCCGCTCATGGAGCTAGTCATATAATGAGTATAATGATAGCTTTTCTTTCTTATTGTTTAGCTTCAAACAAGAGAGTGATAGCACCAAAGGATGACAGTGCACTTGAGGTATTCGAAATGTTTTTTTTTTTAAAGCAGGGGTTAAGTTGAACTCAATAAATTGACCAGCTCCCAATGTACTAGTTTTCATAGCTCAGTCAGTGGAGTACTGCAGCACCAGTGTGGAAGCCATGTGTTAATTGTATCCTGTTAAAGCCTGCAAATCATTTTTTTAGCTTAATTTGTAATTGCTTAGAAACAAATTTTAAAATGTAAAGCTGTGATGGCCACATCTTCATGTCATTTGTACATCCACAGTTCTTGTCATCCATTCTACAGTATATTTGATGTTAACTGCCATGTTTATTTTGTGTGTCAGGGATGGATTAATGTAACCAAAAGATTAAGAGGCGACGATAATGTGGATGGAACTTGTATACCTCAGGTACAGTTTTTGTACATCTTATTCATTAATTTGCCCATAAGGCCTCTTCGTTCTTAAGATAAAATGATCCTTCAAGCTCACGGGTCTACAGTAGTTTTTGTAGTATTTCTATTACAAATTCTTAAATGATTAATTGAGAGATACATGTATGTAATATAGATGTCTCTGATTCAAGATAAGTAATAATTAAAGTTATTTAACTATGCTGATAAACGGGGGTTGTTTATATTAACAATAAACAATCCTTCAGTTAAGCCATCAAAATGTCTTACTGTAAATCTTGTGATGCAAAATATATCTTGCCATACTTAAAACTTTGTTTTCATTGCCCCATTTTCAATGTTGTGCCTGTATTTAGTCAATTAATGTACATGTGTCTCGTAGAATGGTTAATATTGCCAATGGTTTGAAAGCAGCAGTACAGTATCAACTGAGTACGTGTACATGTAGGTCTGGTTGTCTGGGTGAGGGTTGTTCTGAAAAAAAAAATGTTGGGGACTGTCTGTTTTGACAACCTGAATGGAAGTCATCTTCAGAGTCAAGTGAATGATACTGATTGGTCAGTTTAGTTGTGATGGTATGGGCTGCGAGACTTACAAAAAACTGTTAAGTGGTCCTAGCTGCCATGAATCTCCTGTTGCTAAGTGGTAGAACATCAGGACTATCATTTCTACTTTTGCAACACATACGCCATTAATGAATTTGACACAGTGCAAATTAAAGTGAAGTACAACATCCAACAGCATTTAAATCATTGTTGTTGACGCTCAGCAAGTTATTTATAATAAACTTTGCGCTGCCATATTTTATGTCTTTAAGAAGACAGGTTTAAGAACTTTTAACTTTTAAATATTACAAGAAGCATTGGGCTGGTTATTTAATAGCTGAATTTTAGATTATAATTGCAGCATTTTTAAAATCAATGGCTAGTCCTGTTACACTCCATCTAAATGTAGGCCATATGAACTGCAGCTCATGTTGTTGATCCTTGACATCGGCATGTCAGGGAATCCTTTATAGTCCCAAACTCAGTTTCTAAACCAGCCTAAGTTAAAGGAGCTCAGTAACGGTTTGACCATGTACAAAATTACCGAGAAATTGAAGGAAAGCCTGAAAATAGTCATTTACTTAGACAGGAATAATCCATAAAGGAACAAAGATGGTTAAGGGTGGAGGAGATTACACATTACAAACAACAAACTTTAAAAAATTTAGGCTGAACTTTTCAAGATGTGCAAACCATGACAAAGCTCCTTTAAACTAAGTCTTCATTTAAATTATTGGCCCAATGACTCTGCAAAGGCATCCCCCTCATGCCTCTTACAACAGAATCGTGAATCAAGAACACAAGAGCACACAGATCCTCCAGAAAAAGCTGAAGTTACTGCATGCAACAATCAGGTGGATCAAGGGCATAACAGCAATGGTGATGACAAGGAAGACCAGCAAGATCCTCCTGCTGATAATGCAGATCAAAACCAAAGCGAAGCACCAATGAAGACTACTCACAGCGATGAGGTCCATAAGACTGATGCTTTAATAGTAAGGGACTGGTTTTTTTTAATCCTTTATTGATACCACAAGCAGATTTACATGGACCCGAAGAGTGATGAACATTCAGATTCTTTGTAACAATCAATACAAAGTCAGGTTTCTCACAGGAATTGAGAATTCTAGGAAATTCTTCTTCCAATCCCAAGAAAATTATTAAGAATTCCAAAGGGGAAGGGAAACTTTAAAAGTGAAAATTGTCGGTATGTAAAGCTAAAATGGAATTTCCAGACGGTTGGGTGAGTGAGAGATTTAATACCAAAAGCAGGACTCAAAAAAAGTGTCATCTGGTCATCCGGGACAAGAAGGTTTTCCTTCTGGGCAAGGAACTTTTCATTCCCATTTGCCCAGTGGGCAAGGGATCAGCGAAGTCGTCTGCCAACTTAATCATTGAAAGTGCAACCTAAGACTTGCTCAGGGTGAGCAAAATTTAAGAGCTGCTTGTCCAAGGGCAGGTGGAATTCAAGTTTTTTTTGAACCCTGCAAAAGGCCTTCTGTATGTGGGCAGGTTGGGAATATTCTCTGGAACAACCTTATTAGGGATTGTTAACCAGAGAAAAATGGCCTCTAGTGAATATTTGAAGTATAGTCTCTGAACTTGGATCGCAAGAAGTATACTTGGAAATGACAGGATTGAATTAATTGTAAAGCAGCGTAACATTAATATATGATTTGTAATAGGCTGAGAAAACATGCACATGAGTGTCTTCAAGGAATAATGGTGTCTAAGATTCTCAAGAGCCAAAACATTTCTATACAATCATTGATTTCTTTTCTTCACAACTCTTCAAGAGGCATAAATCAAACATAGTATTACTAGTAAAAATATAAACATAATTCTTTTATGGGTAACTTTGATATGTTTCATTTTATACCTAGGAAAACCTAGTGACCAACCAGAAACAGATGATGGAGAAAATTTCTGTTTTGGACTCTAAACTAGAAAAGCTGGATACAGATGATGTGTCTTCTCATTCAACAGTTATGGAATTATTGACCAAAATAAGTGAAAAACTAGATCAGCTTGGCAAAGACTCTTCCCACAGTTGTTGTGGGGGACCTGTTATCATCCAAACAACACCTCATGCTAATGTTGTGCATCAACCAATTCTGGATTCTTGTAGTTCGTGTAGAGACTCCAAAAATGAGAAAAGACCTGAACGCTTGGCATCTTTTCCCTCTGAAAGTAACATGCATGTGACAACCACAGAAAGAAGAGATCAAGTCTCGGCAATTTCTTTAAATGTGACTGCAATGAGAGCTATGGCTGATAACGAAGATGCTTCTGAGAAGATTATTTCTCGCAATGAACCCAGTGTGATTTTAGTTTCAGATTCTCAGAATGAGTATTGTCCCAAATCAGGAGTTACTTCAAGTTTGTTATCCTCGGCAGGTGAGTTGCCAGTGTTAAAGCATAAGCAAGATAGCTCAGTGATGAAGGTATCTTGTGAGTCTGACAGTAAAGCTAATGGAATTGCTTGCTCTAAGCAAGCTCAGCCAGGCATTGGGGAGAATTCTCTAAAGGGAGATGGTTGTAATGCAGTTGTTCGGGAAGGCAATTCCTTGCCAAATGGAATCAGTTCTGTGGCATCCATTTTGATTAACCAACCTCCAATTTCTACAACTGCAAGTACTACATCGCTTCTAAGAGAGGTTGCAACAGTTTGTAGTCAACTCAGAGATGCATCTCCTCAGGCTGAGTACAGTAAGACTTTGACTTCACCAGCACAAAAATTAACACTGTCATGCACTCAATCTGGATCTTCTTGTCCGGCTTTGATAGAACGTATACCAGCACCTTCACAGCATTCTCCTTATGTCGACCAAGAAAGAGGCCCAGTCTACAACCTTGCTGATAAAAATGAAGCAGTGCATAAAACTGGACAGAAGGAAGTGGCAGAGATTGACCCTCACCACCAAAGACCGCCGACAGTTTGTCCTGTTTCTTCAAGTACAGTAACTGGAGGTGCTGGAAAACAGTATCTCCCTGTAGGCATGTTATCAGGACCTAGCCATTATGTACCTAAACCAGCAATATTGGTGGCTAATAACTTTGGTATGCAGAGTATAAAACGTCAGCCTTCTCCCAGCACACCAGCCTCGTCACAGCAGAGCTTATCTCAAGGATATGTCACACTTGTAACGCCATCACCCAGTAGCGTTACAAATGTAACGCCATCACCCAGTAAGGCCCATGTCACACTGACTTTGCAGCCACAAACAGTAATGACTCCAACTGCAAGTCATTCCACGCAACAAGGAGCAAAACTCCATGTATCTCCAGCTGCAGATGCTGCCATGCAAAGAACTGGTAATGATAATGATAATGATACTTTGATGTTGATGATGATGATGATAACAATAATAATAATAATAATAATAATAATAATAATAATAATAATAATAACAAGAAATTTCAAGTTGTTTATCATAGTTTTTCCACCAGTGACGTAAATACATGGTAACTAATAAGCAAACAAGTACCAAACTTACATCATAACGTCGCATGATCAATGATACTACTCGCAGAGCAAATGTCTACTGAGCTCAAATAATATAAATTATTATTTTCATTTAGCTTTCATTCTCAGATACTCATAAATATGACAACAATTGAATGTGGCCTGTTCAAACTTAATTTCAAGTCCATAATATTTTGCTCTCTCTAGATGATGCCAACAGCACACAAAGTGTAGTCTCACAAAAAGACTTACTCAATGCAGGTAACTCTCTTGCACTCATTATAATATACAATGTATGTTCTAACTTTACATTCATGGATGAAACGTGGTATGTGAGTTCGAGATTTGCATTAGGGACTTTAAGCAGCGGGGACGTGGACGGCGACGGGAACGCCGAAACCTGTGAGAGGGCTGGGGAGACAACGCCGTTGTGTTGAGAATTCACAAACATTAAGCAGCACCGTCGGAAACTGCGGTTTCCGCACGGTCAAGCTTATTGACATTATCGATATTCGTCCTCTGTTTATCAGGATGAACTAGGATCACTTCATTGAAAGAAGGTCGCAATCAACTCTTGATAATCCACGATGAAGGTGTGTTAAACGATCACGAACTTCTAGTCTTGTACGATTTAAACCNGCCTATAGGCCACCCCCCCTCCTCTTCAAGAAATAAGCCTCCATCCAAAACCCCTTGCAAAGTTGTACAAGCCCAGGGCCTACAAGGGGCAGTTAACAGTATAAGGAGTGTTGAAAATATATGTTCTATATTGTACAATGCTCCTGCTAATGATTGATTCATTTTGGATGTGTTCTTTTCAGCCATGCTTATCAATAACTATGTCTTAGAGCATCCCAACCAGGAGAATCAAACTCAGTGGCAGGCGTGTCTCAATGCCATAGTTGCTGATTATCAAAAGAACAACCAGGATTCTTCCAGAGGAGACCTGTTACAACTTGGTAAGGAAATAGACTCATCTTACAGGAGGGATGAGAAGTTCCCATTAAGTTCGAAGTTTGAAAGCTTTAACAGGATGAACTGACAGATTGGATGAAGCCAGTGCAACAGTCTAATCCAATTTGGTGGCAGAAGATTCCTCTTTGTGAGCAAGACATTTTCCAGCAATTTGGGCAACAATGAGTTGCTTGAGAATCACAGACTTCTGAAGAAAATTGTTAAAATTCAGTTATGTATTCCAACTCAATTTTTAGGGAACATATAAATGACAATGTTATAAATAATTGCTTAGAGGAATTTACATTTAATTTGTGATAGAAGAGTTCTATATCCTTAAAAACTTGGAGAAATACTGACATTAACATAATTGTAATTATGTCTGACCTGTCCTGAAGTCAGTAAGTGAACACCAAAAACTGAAATATTTTCAGCATCAAGAACTTGGATAAAAACTGCCTGATTTGATTTGGTATGGAAAATTATCATGATTACCTGGTATTAATATACAAGTAATTATCAGTGATGTCATTATCTTGCAGTATCAGTTGGTCACAATCCACATGTGCTGCTCACAAAGTATGAGTTGGAAGATGCGTTGGAAAAGTCCAAGCGTCGGCCAAAGTTCTATGCCCTGCGCCTGGCAGAGAAGCTCTTTGGACTTGATGTTTTGATCAAATCGACACCTTATGGAATTGGAGGAAAAGCTGCTTTAAACCCAGTCATATTGGATGCCATCAAATGTAAGAAAACCTTTTTGTGCAATACTTAAATTAAAGTTCAGGTAAATGTTCTCTGGCCATATACAATTAAAGAGTTTGAGTTTTCTGCAGCCAGGATACTGTCTTTATTGGTTTGAAAATTCTAGAGAAATGTCAGACAGCATGTTCATAGAAAAATATGTGATACTGGAAGAAAATGAACAATGTGTTGACCAGAAAAAAATACAAGTGGTGATGAAGTAGTCATTTTTGGAGAAGAACATTGGTTGTTTGATTGGGTAGCGGCATTAAATAGTTGCCAGCAAAATTAATGTTATTTTTTTTCTAACAGATGCTCAATACATTTAACTCTACATAGCCAGAGAACATTTACGTGTACTCTAGATTTATTTTATCCCATTTATGGTTGAACCTCATTTCTTTTCTGTAGGATTTTCATTAATTTTAATTGATGCTTTATAAGATTCAGTCCTTACTCTCACAATATCTTTTTTCATCTGGTAGTATAAATTGTTAAGTGCAAACATTAAGGCAGGGTGCCTGGTAAAATGACAGGGAGGGGTGGGACCTGACCAGCATCCCACCCAGGCAGAGTAGACAAAATGCAACTCACTACATTTTCAGATACAGGAATAAACCATTGTCTTTGATAAGCCTTAACTCCTATTATCACAAATTAACTTGCCCAACAGCTCACAATGCAACGGTCTTGAACAGACTCAAATTCAACCTTCTCATTTAGGAGTCCATTACACTAACAATCATTGCTAGGCTACTTAATGACTGCCACCCGCACATGGATAATTTTTTGCTTAAATTTTAGAACATAGAATCAGGTTTTATTGAATTTGAAAAAAGAGACATAAGAATTTACAATTGATTTCTTGAAATCGCTGTTTTAGTGGAAGTCCTTCAGCAATTTGCCTCAAACACGTCTAATGAAGAGAAGAGAAACCTGTGGAAAGGTTGCGTGACTAGCATTGCCCAGAGGTGCAAGAGAGCACGCAATCCTCAGAGGAAAAGACCATCAGTTAGAATAAGGAGGAAGGATGATGATAGCCGAGGACTTCCTTCCATGGCAGTTGGCAATGACATGCAGTATGATGAACATGAGGATTCCCATGCTGATTCAGATGAAGATTATGATGAGTGTGATGACATGGACACTTTGGATCAACCAAGCTCAAGCCATACACCAACAGCAGTCCGAATATCATCTGACAGTGAACAAGAGGAACCACAAAATGGTGCTCAGGATGTTCTTCCTGGTAGTGGACGCAATGTAACCCCTCGTCTAAAACAAACACAAGACTCTCGGGTGCGATCAGAGTCGATAGCCAATTCCAGGGAAGGAGGCAAAGAGGAGGATGTTCATGTACCACCAGGCATTGACCCAGACATAACAGTTGTCCATTTGCCATCTGCTGTGAAGATGCTGTCAAAACAAGCAGATCAGAGCTTGGGTCCAGGTCAAATGCAGAGAAGCAGTGTGGCATCAAGTGGCTCTGAGAGCAGTCCCAGTACCAGACCAGAAGGAATTGATAATCTTGGTGCCTATACTGTGCGTATCCAAGAAACTTATAAACATGAAAGGGATGGTGATTCCCCGGAGAAGAACGTGGCTGTGGCACGCAAATACCAAGGAGATTTCCCACCTGTAGTGGGAAGTATATACAAACCTGGCCCAGCATCCACAGAAAGCGTCATTGTGTCTGGCATCAAGATGACTCCTGATTGTAAGTACATGTGCTAAAATTATGTATTTTCCATCTTTTACTGTGTAATATCTCTTAATTTTCTGAATCAGCTGGTAGATGTTTTAGATTGTGGTTGACTGTACAATGAGTACATTGTCCTTTTGTTGTTTCATCATTGGCATCAGGGTTCTGCTCTAGAAGCATCCGGGGTGCTACAGGCGACTAATGTTTGCCTTTTGACCAGTGGGAAAACTTACTTGTTTCATATACACTTAAGTGCTGGGCACCTAGGATTTTTCTTAGACCAGTCAGCCTTGTAAAGCCTTTTCTGACCAGATATACTTGTTTTAAACATTTTTTGGGAAGACACTGGCCTAATGATTAATATGTTGAATTCTGAATCAGCAGTCCAGGTTTGTGTGCTGGTGTGATTGTGTTGTATTCCTGGGCAATATGTCCACTTTTGACTCAAACTGCATCTCTCCAGCGATGAGTATGAAATAATGGTTAAGAAAAACTGCTCAGGCAACCTGACAAAATGCCAGGGCCTGGGAGGAATGGGGGCAGAGAATGATTAATGGACTAGCAATACCCTTGACGAGAGGCGCGGTGGCCTAATGAATGGTTCGCTAGACTCCGGATCGAGCAGTCTGGTTTCAAGCCCTGCCTGGGGTAATTGCATCATGTTCTTGGGCAGGACACTTTTCTCTCACAATGCCTCTCGCCACCAAGGAATATTAATGAATACTGACAAATTTAACACTGGGGGTAACCCTGTGACATACTAGCATCTCACCTAGGGAGGAGTAGAAATACTCCTATTCACTTCTTACTACATGTATCAGGATAAGCTCCAGTGGTATGGCCCAGATGCTGACTTTCTCGATACTACAGAAACTGGAGTTAAGCACAGCCTTGGAATGTGGCTGCTCCAATCCAAAAGTTTGTAATAAATTACAGCTATAGTACTTAATTACCTTTCTTTTTTTCTTTGTCCTCTAGTTTCTTATGTTTTGGTTGGAGGAAACCCAAATGTAGCCCTTCCCCGTCAAAAGTATCTAGATTGTCTCACAAGATCAGGCCAACCCACACACTTTGCTGTTCGTCTGGCTGAGTTGGCTTTTGGAGATGACGTTCTAAAGGCATCGACTGTCACAGGGGGGAAGCGTGGCACTTTGCAGCTTGACCCAAATGTGATTGATGCAATACAAAGTATGATTTTGATTGATCAAGTCATGACGTCAGTAAAGTGACATCACTATACACGCATTAGATTCTTGTACTGTTCAAGACTTTGTCAGTATTGACAGAAACACTTTGTTCTGATGCGTAGCTCCTCCAATTTTTGTCAGTGTCTCTTGATTAGAGACACTATATGAACCTTTATAGGCACTATTACCAGCCGCTGTTTCTCTTCTTGGGGAGGCATGCAGACCCAAGAAGGTGGCAGAAGTCGAGCCTAGAATTTTCATAGAGCTATGTCATTAGTAGTTAAGCTTGCAAGAAGAAACATCTGTTGACTTGGTGTGGAATAGGAATACTCTTAGCCACTTCATGCAAGGGAAATCAGAGATCATCTCTGGCCTGACAGGCTGGTAAGCTCAAGTGCAGACCTTATCTTATGTTAGAGAAAGTACATGTGGCAAGGCACCTAAATTCTTCATGCTACAGGAATGGTCTTAATTTCTGACACCCAATGCGTGGTGTAGAACAGGACTTCAAATTTTACCATCTGGTTTATTCTTGTATTTATTTATTATTTTATCCTACAGCTGAGGTGTCAGAGAGATTTTTAAAAGAAGTCAGCAAAGAACAGAAGACTGCAGTGTTGCGCAAGTGTATTACAAGCATCGCCACTAGATGTAAAACCCTGCGATACAACAGATCAAAGATTCATGTTGCAAATCACTGGGCAATCCATACAAACCAGCCTGACAATGAAGATGAGAAATAGCAATAACGTAAAAAGTCATCACCAAAGAAAATGGCTGTTTCTCACAAGATTCTTTTGCAATCACTTTCAAAATGTCATAAATGTTGTACAAAAAGAGAAAGTCAGTATTATTATCACTCATAAGTTTATTTGCATCTTGCCATATTAAACACAGTCTCCATCACAGCTGCTCAGGCCAGAGTCACACAACACTGTGATGGAGAGCAATGCGTGACTTTGACCTAGGCAGCTGCAAAAGAGACTATGTTATATAGGGATAAGCCTCTTAAGCCACAACCAGCTGAGGTGCTCCTGTAGAATTTCCAACTGTTTTTGCTGTTTTATTGAAAAGTTGAAAAGATTATTGAATTTAGTTCAGCTATTCCAACCAAACTTGGTTTAAATTTTACTGTTCCAAGAAGTCACTTTAATTTGGTCAGTGCGGTAATTTGTTTGGTACAGTATGGAGTGTAGTAGAATAGTTTAAAAATTATCAAGGTTTGATATTTAGCAGGACTAGCTGGTCAACTCTAGAATGCAAAGTTTGCCATTTTGTCATTGACATGTCAAGTCTATGATTCATAAGTCTCCTTGTCAAATTACACTCTGGTTAGCCTGAATAATACCCTCGTTAACAGGACTTTGGATAGCCTTTAGAGCAATCTAGTTTCCCTGAACAGTGCCCTGATTAGCCTGAATAACATTCTTGACTAGTTAGCCTTAAAAGTGCTCCTGTTAACTAGGGTAGCACTCAGGTTAGCCTGTTTAGTTAGATTTCTTGACTCATTTGATGCAATGATGCAACTTACATTCAACAATGAAGGTCAAGTGTTTTAGTTTTCCCTTGAAGGGTCAAGTTATCCATTTTCTTTGTGGATTTCAATCATTTTCTGTGCCCTCAAAAAGTGTTCTTATTAGCTTCTAAAGATTAAACGCTAACTTTTTAAATATTTTATATTTGCGTAAATGGGGTTTTGAAATAAGTTATTAGTAACCATTCAAGCAAAGCTTTTCACATTTAATTAATTTATTAAAAGTTGAGAGCTAAACTGTTATTTACAAACTGTAGTCCCGCACAAGTTGTTTAAGGATGTATTCTCAATAATTGCGAATGTTTCCGACACCAAGTGTCTCTATTTAGTTAATTAAATTATTAAACTGATGCTGCAATCCAAAAATTGACATTCCTTATCTGTAAGGAATAAATCTGGTAAAAGAAAAAGCCAGAATCAAAGTTCAGGCTTCCATTTCTTTTTTGTATTTATTTAATCAATGTTAATGGCCAACAAAATTTTACATTTTTTATGTTACTTCTAGTTTTTACAACAGCATATCAGAATAGTCAGGGTTCGTGTTTTAAACGGAGTGTAAGTCTGATGAAATGTTTTTGTTTTCAAGTAAAGTCAGGGAATACTGGGGTAAGTTGGCAGGATGCACAGCAAGAAATACAAGTTTTTATTAATGTCTCATTTATGTCTGCATATTTACATTATTTATGTCTGCATAGTGAAAATGAAATGAAGAGAAAAATGTTGTTAGAGTAATCCTTTGTTAAGAAAATGAAAGTCAGAATTTTTCATCTCTTGATAAGCAGGAACCTGAATAAATAACATATGCAAAGCATTAATTTATGCAGTGTCAATTAACACATTGTGATAATTATTTTATGAGTTTTGAAGTGAACATCAAAGTTCAGGACTTGGAAGGTTAAATGTTCAGTCTCAGACAATACAATAAAACTACTTATTAATTTGTTATTTAAACTGTACTGCCGTTTGTGATGCTTTTAAACCTTCGTCCAGTTTCATCCTCTACATTCTAGAGAAAAGAAAAACAGTTCACTGCAAGTCTTAAACCCTTCAACAATTAAGATATATTTTGGAAATTTTTAAGTCTGGATGAAAACCTAGAGTGTGGGCAATACTTTGTTGTGGGGTTATTCATCATGTATCATGCATCCAGGTTAAGGCATACTGGTAATTTTGTGATCTGTCCTGTTAACGAGATTCAATTACAAATTGAAAAGCATTTCGAAACCATTGATATTGCAAGTTGTGGGAACAAGTTGCTCTAACTTGATTTAAGTTATTCTTTTTTCAACTTACTGTCAGCACTTGGTATGCTTTTCAACTTGCAATACAACTTTGTTCTGTGCATAGGTAGCAAGAATAATGTTTCCTGTACATGTATGACTGGGTTTTAATTTAGACAACAGGAGTAATTTCTCTGTATGATGGAAGAAAGGGTGTTGTGTGAACAAACAAAAAGACAGCAGCAAAGGGGACTCTATTGTCCTTTCAACTGTTTCTCAACCTGAAGTTCTGAAAGGTTAATTGACTGTGGTAGTGAGTTTGTGAAACTGATGTATTAAGCTTTAGCCCTTCATCATAGCAAGCAGGTGACTTCAGATGTTTGCTCTATTGAAAGGCCAACACTTAAAACCTCGGCTTCACAAACTCATTACCACGATCAATTTACAACTTCAAGTTGATGAACAGCCAAGAGATTTCCTTTTTCCAAACATTAAAATAGCGAAGAGATTCACTCTCCTGCCAACGTGGCCTAACAGTTTCCTTAGAAACTATAACATTGTTCATACTGTATGTCATTCCTCGGTTTATTACTTTAATCAGTTTCTTTTCTAATCTCTGTACAGATAATGACTATAGCTGCCATGGAGCCAACACAAGCTGTTGCTGGTAAAAAAACATTCCAAACACCTTCCTTTGTATACACAAATGTGGATGCTTACTGTGCTCATCACACAATCTCTACTTGCCAGTAGTTTGTTTGTGACAAGCCCAGAGGACATCGGCATAGAAGGATATTGTCCTTGCTGATCACTTTTTTCTCTTCAATCCACCTAAGAGATAAATAGGCTTTGCAGTCGCTTTGTTCCCTAATAAAGCTTGCAAGGAAGTGGCAAGGGCACAAATGAAGTGTGGGGTGGAACACAAGCTGGAAGCAATTCATAACCTGGCTCCCAGTTTTTGTACTCTTGTAAAGTGTGAGAGTGCTTGTTGGATTGGTATCTTACTATGTAACAAGGTTGATAAACACTGTTGAATTCATGATCAGCAGGAAATGAGGCACCCGACTATGGCCAGATTTATACCTTACTGAGCAGAATAATGCGGGGACAGCCCCCGCCCAATCTCACCCCTCTCGGTAAGTGATTATCCTAATAGGGGCTTAAAACGGCAGCCATGCTGCACGGCAGGAACAATGAAAATGTTTTGCATTAGAAAGAACATTTTTTGCCATAGGAAAAAGAATCTATTGTTCCTGCCACACAACATGGCTGCTGTACAAAACCTCTATTATTCAAAACATTTTGTCAGTTCACTCAAGCAAAATGTAAGCTAAAACATCAACTGTGTTCTTTTCCTTGTTTCTTTGAAGATGCACGTGTCATTCTGGATTTGTTAACTGACCTGGAACGTAGACTTGCAGGCCATGATGTAAGCAGCCAAGTCAACTTTGTTACCAACAAATACAAAGAAGTGATGGAAAATCAAGGTGGAACCACCTCTTGTACTCAAACACAGCTCCCTGCACGTCATGGTCGAGCTGAAGCTGCTAACAACAGTTCTGATCCAGGAAGCAGTTCGAGTAAACCCAGAACACCGCTGTTCTCTTTAAATCCCCTTAATGTACCAGTGCAGTTACTGAATTTAAAGAAGCCAACTCCAGTTTCTAGTTCTCAAACATAAATGTTTTTTTTAATTATTTACATTATTTTAGATAACTTGGTGAGAATTTCCTATCAGGTGTTTGTGTTTTTGATAATCGCAGTGTTTTCAATGAGGTCTGTACTTTAAAGTACTCTTTTTTCTCTAAAATAGCATTCCTGGCTACAGTTTGCCATTGACTGCAGCTTCCAATTCATCTTATTTGAAGGAAAGCTAAAATTCCTTTCTTGCATCCCTACATTGTTCAGTGATGTTCAGCAGTTTTGGTTGATGCATTGTTTAAGCTAAGGAAGGATTGCTTGAATAAAGGTTTGACCTCTCTGATTGGTCTAAAGCTTTCTGCAAGTTGGTATCGAAGAGTTCACACCTGAGTAGAGAGAGAGTGAGAGGTGGTTAATGGATAAGTCTCTTGTACGTGTCTCACCTGTTTGGGTAACATTAATGGGATGGGGTAGGGAGCAATGGCAGGTGGAATAAATGGGGAGCAGACAGGAAGACAGGTTCAATTACCAGCCAACGGCAATTACGGAAAGGAGCCACCATTCTTCCCCCTGGTAGGACCTTTGGAGACCAGACCTGAGAGAGTGGAGGAAATCTTATAAAAGGGTGGAAGAATTTTTGGGCCTTCTATTTTTCAGCAAAAAAAGGAGTCAAGACCTCTCCCCCACATAGTTCCCAATAGTAGTAATTGCATGGAACTACACACTCGAGCTGTTAATTGTCAGCTTTAGTACAAACCACTTATTTGCCTCGCTTCTCACTATCTATTCTGTTGTAGATAGTGAGTAGGATAGCAGTGTGTGATTGTTAACAAAATGGTGGCCGCTTCTTTTCAAGAACCCCCGCTCCCTTCCCCGCTTAGAATTTCCAATAACCCTTGTTGTTGAGTGTATGAATCACACAATGTCCTACTGGTGTAATGGCCAGTCGAGCAAGGTGTTTCATAACTCTGAACATTTTGTTATGCTGAGTACATATACTCTGAAGCTGCAAATTATGTACGGAAATCATTACTGGTAGTTACCTTATAGGCATATCCAACGAGTAGAATGGGTTTTTCAGAGCAAAGTCTGAATAAAGCTCATAAATCTTTTTGAGGAAAATATCCATCCCAAGTTGTTTTGGATCTGTCAGCACAATAAATTTTAAACCTGTTGAAAAATTATTAGAAAGTATTAGAGAATAGCCTATAATATTACAAACTCCTAAAAAAAAACAATAAATAGCTGTAACATCAACATTCAACTTTTGGTCTGACTGAGTTAAATATTAACTGAATTTACTTGATCAAGCACCGCCTATGGTTTAACGATGCCCCTGATTAAGTGTTTAGAATTTTTTAAAGAGTGTCCTCCTTGAATAAGTGCTACATTCATTCACAACAATGCAGCACTTAATTGAAGCATCATCGGCCTGAATTGTTCAAGAAGTCTGACTAAATAACAAGGTTAGTATGGTACAACTCAGTCTTGACCAGCCTCAGAAATTTATTTCCCTGGATTACAATGTTTTTAGGTTCAAAATGGCTATATTCTTCATTTGCCTCAATAACAAAAGTGATGATTTTTAAACATTGGAACCAGAACACTGGTGCTCAATTAAGTAAGTATGGTAACTCTCTTTTCAAAGACTACAAATTTGAAATTGAAGACTAGGGGAATACTTGACTGCTTTTGTCTGAGAATGATTGTCTTGTCACTGTTTCTTACCTGTGTGTGTCTGGAAACAGTGAAGTTTGAAGGAATCTGCTTCTAATACTTCAATTCCTGATGACCTCTGCTCTGGAGACAGCTTTGCAGAGATGGCATAGAGCCTGTTCAAATCAAAACAAAGGACAGTAAGATTTTTCTGACGCAGAAAGGAAATACACTGTATAGGAAATGTTTGTACTCCAGCAAGATGTAAATGATGGTTACCATATTGGACTCATTCGAGTAGTGGCCAGGGTCATCGTCTTGTGATCTGGGGCAAGACACTGAACTCTCACAGTGCCCCTCTCCACCCAGGAATATAAATAGGTATGGATGATCCGTTAGGGAAACCTAAAAACTGGGCTAACCTGCAATGGTCTAGCGTGTAGAGAGAGGGAATACTTATATGTAACCATGCCTGTTAGTTGAGCCAAAATTTGGCCAAGTGGCTATGATATCATAGACACAGCAGGTCGTTGACTTGATATCACACGAAATCAGGACAGTTGACAACACTTCTGATTGGCTAATTGGGAATTGGGTATGTTAATCTTTAAAAGTTGCATAGAAGGTCATGCTTTGGCTAGTCAGCTTGAGTCCTGCCTTTGCTATCACTTCAGACCCAGTTCAGTGGAGCAAAGTAATCCCCTCCCCCTCCACCACCACCACTTTTAACATTGCCACTGGTAAGAGTAATTTCTCCCCCACTCCTCCCCTACTAAATGAAACAATGTCCAATCAGGGTACATACATACAATTGTTATTATATTACTTAGCTTGTCTAATTGTAGACATTTCCTCTCAGGTTTACTTACGGATGAAACATGCTTGCCAGCATAATACGTTCATTAGTCGTCAATTTTAGCCGACCAAACTTCAAGGAAATTGGGTAGTTCTCCTGGTTTTTTATTACTTCCATTGCTTCTCTTCCATCGGGCAAACGTTTTCCAGTAACTGGCTCACCATTAACTGCCAGTAAGGCATGGCCAACTAATACAAAAAAACGTAATTCATCAACTGTACAACGCGTAACGAAAGATCAGGGAAGCTAACTCAAGAAAGTAAACTTGAAATCTTTACCTTTTATGCCATCTCTTTCACCAAATATCACAACCAGCTTATCATCTTCGCGTAGCGTTATGTCTAAAGGATAGCTGAATGTCTTTTCGATCTCGCTTTTGGGCGTAAAATGGTCGTAATGGTAGATAAGTCCACCGGCACGATTCAAAATGTACACACTGAAAATCGCCATTTTGAATCGTAGCTTGCGAAGGGCCTGGTTAGAGTTACCCCTTGTAAAGATGGCGTCAGACTTCGTCCAGGCTGCGAGATCTTTCTTATTGTCTTGTCCTTTTCTGGAAATGTAACTTAGAGATAATTAAGCTTTTTCTAGTAAAACATGTGGAAGTCAGACGAGATTGTCTCAAGTAGCGATGAGAGCTTTGAGGAAGAAATTTCCACCAGTAATTCTGGAAAGTTTGACAGTGCCACTGGTGCATGTAAACTGAAATCTGTGTTTGACGATATTTTCGCCGATATTCAAGCCAATATTCCTACGCTGGAATTGGAAAATTCCTCAGAGGTAAGTGAACAGCAAAATTAAATTATCTAATGGCTGTTTATTTGCAATTTGTAGTCTTCACGTCCTCGTACATGAACGGGCTCAGCCTGCATCGGGTGCGTTTAATGTTGTACGTTGCTTAGGCAACGTTTATAGGAAGAAATGAGAGAGCAAGCCTCCTTCTGCTGAAGCAACCAGCAGTGATAAAATGATTTTTCCGCAAAACGCGATATTTCTTAACTCACTGGGGAAAATGGGAGGCATTGGTCATAATTATTGTCTTTTCAAAAGAAACTGTCAAGTCATTCAAAAGCCTTGAATAAATTATGCACACTCTTTAGAGTAGCCCCCCATTTTGACTTGGTTTAGGCCTATAGTCTTTATCAACTGATGTAATCATCAAGGGGCATGATATATTTTCTTTCCAACTTACTGATGTGACAATTTTTAAAGTAGACTTTTTTCTTGGTATGTCAGCAGACCTTACCCCTCCCCCTCAGGGGCTCTCCCATGGAAAAATAAAGGCCATGGTTTTTAAGAACCAGATAATCTCGGAAAGGGTTTAGAAATAAGAGAGTTTTGGTCTACGATGGGGTATCACTTAACAGAAAATTGCTAGCAATTAACACTTGACATACAGATAATTGCAGCAGCTATAAAAGCAACTGACTGAAATAGTGATGGAACTGCCTAAAAATATGAAGTGTGGGATAGGGTAGGGATTTTTTGTGTTTAGTTTAGCTACATTTTAAACTGTGCCGAACGTGGTCTGGTATCCTGTACACATTTTTGTGTTTCAGCAGGACACTTCCACCCAACAATTACTATGCCCTTAACCTTACGTCACCCTCTTCATTCTAATTATACAAAAATGATTTTTGCTTTAAGGAAAGTGACAATGATGAAGAGCCAGTCTTGTACACAAGAGAGGCATGGCCATTGTCACCAAACATTGCATTACAAACAAGCACACCCAGTAATAAGGTAAACAATTCACCTGCAGCCAGTGCATCAGACAGTGGACTCTTCCTTGCCAGCACAGATGGACACACAACAAGTAGTTCATCAATTTCCGACTGTGAACAGGTTTGTTCAAAATGATTAATGGCATAACCTCCAAAAACAAACATATCTTTTCACTGGAATGTTCGTGTTCTTTCTTGAACCACATGAGAAAGAGATTCACGCAATTCAGGCTGGACACTGTACCATTATGCTGTTACNTTGAGCTGAGATTTGACCTGTTAGAGCACTTAAATCTCGGTGATTACCTAGCTCGCACTAATGAAGTCACTGTGCCGCCAGTGTTCCCACCCATCTTAAGTGATAGTAGCAGTGATGATACTGATGATGGCACCAGCCTTATGGAGGAACTAGTAAGACTGAGTAGGAAGCAACAGAGCAACGCTGCACCAGAACCTGTTAGTCCAGCTGATCACCATGCAAGAGGCTTGCTAGAGAACAAGAACGGTAAGAAGCATGATGTTGGAGTGATGAGTGGTCCATCTGTGTCCTCCAGAGGGGTCACAGCTAGTCTGGATCCTTCAACTTCAAGCAGGTCAACAAATACAGTGTTCTTGGATTTAAGAAGACAAGAGGAACAAAATCTGACACAGGTGATTCACACAAATATAAATTTAATGTGATTCTTTCATACTAGTTGGGGGAGATGCAGTGGCCTTATGGTGTGTGTTTTTCTATCCTGGTGAAATCCAAGACTTGCCAAGATGCTGCGATCCTTGTTTCAAAATCCAAGACTGAGGCTTGAATGATTTTAGATTGCGAGACTACAAAAACACACAATAATAAGACTTCAGATGACTCTTCACAAGATCCCAAGACTTTGAGATTAGGTGAAAAGTTTGCGACACCCACAATTTTCTAAGTACCATTCAGCCAGGGGTTTCATTAATGTTTTCAGCAACAGGACAACTGGTTTTCACAGGTGGGCAAAACTTTTTGAACTGAACTTCTTTATAAGAAAACATTTCCTCTAGATGGTCATACCAGGTGGCCAAAATCATCTTCACGACCAGTCCATTTGCCCAGTGCCCAGCCCTTAATGAAACCCCTGCATTCACCACCCCTTCCATACCAACCAACCAACTATCCCTCCATCTAGGGACTGCGAGCATTAAAATGAATTCAATAACTGAACTCAAGTAACACTTGAGTAGTATATCCTTTAATATCAGTTTTGTGTTCTGTTTGGTTTAGAGACACCAAGCACTGCCGTCATCAATATGCAGAATACTTGGGATTAGTCATGATGCACAGTCTGAGTAAGTTATTGGATTTCCTAGTAAATTGTTTACATAGCTGAGGTTCTGAGGGAGAGGGGCAGTAGTTGGACTCTACCCCCCTACTCCTACCATTTTTTTTTTGTCCTTGGCCTCGCCCCAGTCTTCCCAAAGCCAAAATGCAAAACTCTCATTCCTTATGGGAATGCTTACTATGCAGGCTGCAAGAGATGATAATGTATGGTGACACAGTTTCTTTTCTTTAAGTTTATCTAGTAGTTCAGATGAGGAGGACGACCTTCAACACTGGCAGGATCAGAGACGGAAAGTCAAAGAAGCTTCACTTTCCTGTGCAAGACAGAAAAGTGGCCACATTAACCACAGTGAAGCAAAGAGACAACCTGCAAAGAACAAAAATACCGCTGAAGAACTAAAACCGGATCACGAGGAGAATACTGTAAAATTAGATAAAACAGTTGTCGAAGACATCTCTAGGGAAGTGAACACTCACAAGAGTTTTGAAATTGCAAAGGCACTTGAAACGCACAGCTTAGATAATGTACGGCTCAACCAGAAGAATGAGCAGGAAGTGGTCAAAGATCTCAGAGAAGTTCCTGTGAGACAGGCATGGACAGCTTCTTCTGTTGGCTACAAGGACAAACCTTCAAACGATACTATCTGCTCTGTAGGTGAGACCAAGACAACAACAACAACAACACATGCGCCACCACAACAAGAGATTTCCAACTCTAAAGCAAAACAACAACGTTCACAGGTGTCATCGCCAAAGAAGAGTACCATTGAACTTATTAACAATAAGATATCTACAGAGAAAACAGATCAATTGAGCAGTGTTGATATTGAGATTAAGAAGGATTTGAATTCTGCAGTAAATGAAGGGCTCAAGAAACCAGGTGTAAGACATAAGCTAGTGTTCACTGAGGAGGAGAAGGCCAAAAGGCAAAGACTTCAGAAGAGTTTACAAAATCTCAAGCCCCAGCTGTCATCTCACAAGCATCACTCAGCTGCACCTTGTACACCTGTACTCTTTCATGAGGTAACTTGTTGAGCTCAAAATTAATAAAAAATGAGAGAAATTTTCATCTGGCAAAGATTTGGAAAACTAATGGCACCGCATTAATGTGGTTTTCGACAGCTTTCGTTTGAATGGTCACACTCTAGGGTTTCATTCACAGACGCATATTAGTTAGAACCTCCTTAGTAGAATACAAATGTGCACAAAACGAGGACGAATGTCTGTTGCCTGCGAGCAGGATCTACTGTGTGGGTTTCGCTCTTAACTTTTTGCCTTGGCGCACGAGCGAGTTTACGAACGACGCGTGGGGGGCTGAACTTGTCTAACGCAATTTTTACTCTGAAAGTCCCAAAAGACTAGCGTAACAGGTTCTCTGTAGTCATCTTTTTGTTTAGTCTGATTCCCAGATCTCTTGGAACAAGAGTATTTTCTGTTTGGACAACACGAGAGTAAGGAGACACGTCTCAAAATCAGGATTTTGGGCCAAAAAAATCGTGAAGTCATAATTCTCTTATTAGAAATTTTAGCGTATAGAATCCCTGATATGTTTACTTGTTTAGGTTGTGATTCGTCCGTCAAGCTCGCCAGAACACTGCAAAAATCGTAAAATATGCAGCGACTCTACACGCTAATGTGCTCAACAATCTATATACCTACCGCGTGACAATGCAGTTGTGACACTATTATTTGGATGGTTTCGCACTAGTTTGGAATTGGTACCTTAATATATTATCACAAGAATGTTAGAGATAAAATTGTATGTTCTTCAACTCCCTGAAATCCCGAGAGACAGACAGACGACACACGGACGGACGGACAACCATTATTTAAGCTCAATTAAAATTAAAGCTCAGTAGTTTATGGGCTCGTGCCAAAAACACAGAGATAGCCTTGCTACATGCACCAGATAAACAGTTTATATTAAATTTGTCTTCCTTTCTTCTCAGGAAGCTTCTTATGAAAGCCACGTTTTGAGTTTACCACGCCTTGATACAAACACACCATGTCTGCTGATGAGTGCTAAGCTGTCCAGCTGTGGGGAATTGACGGTCATCCGTCAGGGAGCCAGAAGCGGAGTTACACCAGACACACACTGCTTCTCAAACCTGGTAACCTGGCTCGCCTGTCTAGTTAGTCCCAGTGTGAACACTACAGACTATGCCGAGATATGCGGAGCACCTTTCCATGTTGTAGGCTTACAGCAAAGTTGGCACGAAGGTCAGCTCAAGATGGACATCGGTATTTGTAGCCGCACCACTGAGAAAGGCGAACAGTCGAGCGTTAACGATGGAAAAGGAAAAGCTAAGAACAAAGCAAGCAATTCCTTTAGGCACGCAGTAAGTAAGTTTCTCTCCACGAACACACTCCATAGTGTGTACACTCGCCTGTCGGAGTGCACTCCCTGCCCGCTTCAGTACCTCGCGGAGTTATCGATAAGCAAAAGGAATTTATCCACACTACTAACAGTCAATCCAGACCCTGACGCCATGCAGCGCGTGTTCGCAGCTAAACCCGGCTTCTTTTGGCAGACCATGGAGATGGGAGATGCACCAACTGAAGAAAAAACCCCTGCTAGGCTCTGCCAGGGACCCGAGAGTCAAAACACGGTCATGCTGATGCAGTATGCTGTGTTCCACCAGCCTTTCTGTTTGTTAGACGTGTTGATTCGTGTTCGTAACAAGGCTCTGGATGTCGCTGGGATCAGGCTGGTCTATCAGGAGGAGGGACCCCCACTTGAGGAGAAACCAGGTAGTACTCTTAGAGCAGTGTTCTCTGGCATATAAGAAAAAAAAAACCTTTTTAGCTAAGCCCTGGAAAAACGGCTTTGCGAGCAGTCGCGAGTACCCCCAAGTAGCCGCAAGTTGAACTTGCGTAGAGACGTGCGTTGGGTGGCCAAACGGACTCGCAAGTTTCCTCGCAAGTACACGAAAGTCGCGAAAAAACCTCTTTCAAGGTCGCCATTTTGAAAACCCTTGCGATAATATCGAATGGACGTCACTCAACTTGCGTCAACTAAGGTTGGGCGGCCAAACAAAGAAAAACCTGCGTCGGTTTGCGTGCGAATTTGATCTCGACCAAAGTGAGCGCAAGTCATCCCAAGTCAACGCAGGACCACACAAGACCACGCAAGGCCTGGCCAGACGGAGTCGCAAGTAGACGGAAGTTTTCAACTTGCGTCTAATTGCGATTCCGTTTGTCAAGGGCTTTAGTTTACTGTGTAGCTTTTATTCCTCTGTATTTTGATTTGCTCTGCGTTTCCTCGAATTCTTTCTTTTTCCTCGCAGCTCACGGATCAGAGGTTACTACTGACATACCAGTTCTCGGGGAAACATGCACAGGGTCCCAGATCCCTCTTTTGGTTCTTGCGTTGCGTGGGCCCAGGGCCATTTCACAGTGGCAAGACGAGGTGGGACCCGTCGATGCCAAACTCGCACAAAGAACAGATCCCAAGTCATTACGGGCCCTGTACAGCCATGGGGCCAAGGAAGACCATCTGTTTTGGTGCCCGCGAAATGTGCAGGGTGCGGGAACCGAGCTAGCCCGGTGGTTCGGTGGACGGGTCCCGGAAAGTGGCGTTATTAACATTGGGTCCAGCGAGCCTGTTGTGACAATTGATGAGAAACCTAAAGGTTCTCCTGGCAAAGGGCGAAATGCCAAGACCCAGTTACTCACGAGCTCGCTCCACAGCACCTGTAGACCACCGCCGTATTTTTTGACTGCTTGCACCGATACTAGCGTGTTCTTCATTGTCTCGCCAGCTCTTCCTGTTAAATACCTCGGTCGTGTGATGTGTCTTTGCTTCGAGAGAGGTTACTGCACGCAGGGTATCAAACGTGTGCATTTGAATACTAACCGTCTTAGTGGCCTCGGACTTGCACCAGACCAGCTAAACGTGTTCTGCCCCAAGCGTGTTACCCAATCAGAAAGCGCCTCTCCTTCGGCTTTACCAGTGGCCTCTACAGTGCTGTTACTCAGAAGAGAGAATGCACTTCACCACACACTGCCCGTGGTTAAATCGATCGTGGACTCCTTAGCGGACACCAGTTTGTCTCAGTCATGCTTTCTATCCATTCCTTACAGCGACTCCATGTTAAAGCAGCTTGGTGGAGATTTTTCTATCACACCAGACCCGGCTGCTTATCCCGTAGATCTACTTAGGCATGCGTTTCACTCTAATCCCGAACTCGAACAGGTATGCGTCTTGACTCTGCTGAGGGAGAAGGCTTCCATCTCGGCAGGCTCCATCCTGAATCAGCTTTTGCTTGAAAAAGAATCTCAGGAATCGGAAAAGGAGAAGTCGAATCCTTACTGCGGATTTGAACTCTTGGGGCTCAAGCTTCTTACCTCGCTTTCGATGCGCCAAGCTAAGGAGTTCACGCCGTGCAAGATTGGAGATGGTCTGTGGAAGAAAAGTCTTCACATCTTAACAGCGGGGCCTGCGCTGGTTTTAGCGCTCAGAGGTGTAAATGCGTTTGCTCGGCTACAACGCTTTGTGGACTGTCATTTGGACTCGTCAAAGTCGAAACGCGCAACGGACAGCATTTCCTTTGACTTGCTCATGTCCTGCACGCCCGAACTAGCGTGCAGACAGCTGTCAGTCATTTTCTTTGACAGGGAGTTGTTCTCTGATCAATCCGCGCGTCGAAACCTTCACCTGCTTCCCCCTCCCCGGAGAGTTATCAACGGTGTTTGCAGTGGCAGTAGTGAGTCGCTGAACGAATCAGACACGCTAGGGTCGTCTCCCAGCAGGAAGGCGAGGAACAGGCGGGTTGGATTGAGCAAGTCTTCTCTGAAGCCATCTCTAAGTAGGGTGGAGACGTTGTGGTATGCAGACATGTCGGTCGTTCAAAGCCTTCTGGAGAAGCCTCGGGTCATACCCACTGTCTGTGTGCTGAAGCCACGCACCGCTCCCAAACATCTTGGTAAGGTGCTCAAGCGGCTGGGACAGGAAGGGTTCTCCGTGACTGGCATGAAAATGATGATTCTTTCCTCTACAGAAGTTTCGTCGTTGATTGCTGAAAAGGTAACTTAAGTTGAAGAATTGGTAACTTATTAACATAATGGAAATAAATTGGGATATTGGTTTGGCATATTTTCGGAATAACAAAAGTAATAATGTACTCACCCCAATTACGAACAGAATAGCCGCAATAGAAATTCAAGTAGTCGAGTATTTGGGAATGAGCGTACCTCCCAAACGAACGCTTACCTGCACTGATTCACTCATTCCAATTATTCTTCCTCTGGATTGATCCCAAATGAACGCACCCTTAGAGAAAAAAATCCTATTTCTATCCTAATTCTGTCCATATCTCTATCAGATCATATTACAGTTTGGAAATGTTGGTTTTTGAGAGGGGAGAAAAATCGTAGTACCCGGAGTGAAACCTTACTAATCCCACATGACTTCTGGCTGGAATCCGGCCTGGACCACATTGGTGTAAAAGATGAACAAGTACCTAGCCCAAGGGTCTATGCTTAACTGCACTTATTAGCCTGTCAGTAAGCTCGCTTAGCAGGTCTTGTTAGTAAGAGATCTTGCTCGCATGCTAAACTACGCCCACCTTGCTATGATTATTCACCACGCATTTGAAGACATTTTCATTTTATTTGCACTCAATATTCAATCTCTGTCTTCATTGCAGGAGAGCGAGCTAGAGCGTCACGTGTGTCACATGACCTCCGGTCCGATAGTGGCTCTCTGTCTGCAGCGTGAGAATGCTGTGGGGCGTCTGCTGGAGGTACTCGGTCCCAGTGATCCTCGTGCAGCAAGGAAGCAGTCCCAGTTCTTTTTGAGGGGTTCTTTTGGCGAGGATTCCATTCAGAATGCGTTCTACGGTACGTTTACGAAAACTTGGTCAATTTTGGTGAGGATTCTCTTGAAAAGGCGTTTGTTAATCGTTGCTTACCTGTATTATTTTCTACAACGCTTTAGTTTAATGTTAGTGGAAGTGGAAGTAAGTAGATGGAATCGTATGAATGCGAGTGCAAACATCTTCGGTTATCTCCGAGTCGCTTTCGGAAATCTACGGAAATGTTCGGAAGATCTTCGTGCATCCAAGTCTTGTTCGGAATCTTCCAGAAGATTTTGTGCCAAGCAATAAACCAGCTCTATATCTCGCGAAGATGCATTCGTTTCCAGTGGTTTTAGTTAATTATTAATCTATTCCAAGAGCTATTACTACTGATGAAAACGATTTTGGCAGTCATCTAAAGAAAAATGGTGTCTTACTACATTTCCTATCCTTTGTGTCTTAGGATCAGAAACTTACCAAGAGGCCATCAGAGATATCAAGCTGCTTTTTCCTGAGGGTGTTTGTTGTCCTCCTTCTATGGACCTCAAGGCTGAGGAGGTATATTTTACTCGTCCATACATTGTTCAAGGAATGTGTACGCACCCAAACAAATTTCCGGTTCTTAGTGTCGAATCAAAAATAGCACTTGTGAGTCACTTGTGAGCATTTACTAAGTCGCTTGGTTTATGTTTGCGTCTTGACATCATGTTACTCCCTGTTGCTTAGAAACGTCTGTCACATTAATCGCAGGCTCAGACAATTCGCAGGTACGTCTAGAATAGCTAATAGACTCGCTTCCCGGGTGCTCTCTCTTGCACGCCCCACAAATGAGATCAAGACACTGGAGTTTGCATGGTACTTACTTTCCCAACACTATTGTTTTAGTGTGACAGATGAAGACTAGCGCAAGCAGAGGTAGAGGAAGCAACGTGGTGTGAGACTGGATAAGACAATTGATCATGTTTATGTGCGAAATCGGACGATTAGAAGAGGGGGTAGCAGGTTGTAGGTGTCCGTGGCGAACCTCCACCGTATTGTGGAGGTTCCCCCGCCCCCCTTTTCTTACTCCATGAGCGAGGACGAGAAGTCATTATTTCACTGATTGGCCTCAAAAACTCCGAGGGTCTGGAAAGGAGCTTTTTTGTCTTACAAGAACTTCGTGGGCTGTATTTAATTTTTTTTTCGGCGTACAGTTTAAATTATCTCTTAGTGTGGAAAAGATACTCAAGATTTGCTTTGTTTGCCTTTTAGATTCCTTGTCTCGCTCTGGATGAAGTTTTCAGCGTGACGGCCAACAGAGCGCTTGTGGAACTCTCTACAGAGGAACAGAGTAGAGTGGGCTGCAGCCCTGGCATGACCCTGTTACCAAGTTCCTTACTAGAGATCAACTGTTTACTATTGCTACCGCAGCTGCTGGCTTGTCGCTCTCAGCCAGGCCGACGAAGTAACATCGTCTATGCTGAGATCGTGGAGGCTTTGCTGACTGCAGGGTTTCACTTCCTTGGTTTGAGAATGGTGTTACTTGGAGTGGCTGAGGCTGCCGACTGTGCTAAGCTATACAGCAGTTGCCTTCCCGCGGATTGGAAACCCCATCAGCTGGTGAGAGACTTCTTTGTATGAAAATATTGTAAAAACGAAACATGTCTATCCAGGTACTTTCGTTAGAAAGTTAGGGTAATTTAACACTTAGCACTTAACACCTCGCCACCCTGGCCACCCCTGCTTACCTCACCACCTCCGCCTCCCCTGCCACCCTAGCCCCCACCGCCACCCAGGCCACCCTCACCATCCTGCCCACCTTCACCACCCTGGCCACATTTTACCCTTGCCCTTGTTTGTGTCCTCTAGACTTTGCTGCCGAGCTGAATTTTAATATATCCAAACAGTCTATGGTGACCTACGGTGCATAATATATGAAGTACAGAGCCTTCCCTCATCTGTTACCGCTAACGTCAAACCGCATCTTGTTCATGGACCCTTCTGTCGATTTTTAGCAGACAATATCCTTCTTTCGGATACATGCCTAGTTTATTAAATTACTAAAATAGCTGAATCACTGCTCTGCGTAATTTATCACTATCCCCTGCTGCAAGATTCTTCCAGTTTATGGGAAACAAAATTAAGTGCCATTGTGCGCAAAATGGCTGAAAATCAAGCCAACAAATCAATTTGAGTTTGTGAAGATGGTTATGTTCAGGGTATCATTTGTGGATCATGGATCTCCATTTATGCTTAGTTTGGACAGACACATAATCTGCTGTGTTAAAATGAGTAGAATTCCGAGGTCTCACAGTTACATCGGTCGTAGACTTCAAGTCTAATAGCTCAATTTAAAGCTGGCAATTTTTACGTGGTAGGCATTATTTGAATACCGGAATTATAGGCGAAATGTTTCGCCGCCTACAAACTTCGGTTAAAAATGTGACCTTTACTGAGGTGCCTTCTACTTGCTTTAGCTGACTAATTTTGAACTACGAGAAATAATAATTTGGTGAAAAAAGTAAACTTTGCTTTATAGGCTGGCCAACTGTCGAAGTCACCTTGTCTTGCAATGGCTGTCTTACGTGACGGTGCAGTCACGTGTTACGACACGTTATGTGACAGGTAAGGGACGTTGTCAAATTGAACGTGGAGTACAGGGAACAAAGTGCTTGCTTTATTGGACATTTTCTGTGAAAAGGAAAAAAATAACTGTATCAAGATACAGATTCTCCTTGCAGGTCCTCGTACATTTATTGTGACAACAGTAGGGAGAATTTTCTTTACTATTATTTCTTGAGTGCTTGAATTTTATATATATTTTTTGAAGAGAAGTTGTTGTCTGATCTCTATGAGCCATTGACCTCAGACTTCAGAACTGTTTATTGTCTAGTGCGCAGTTTAGTTTAGTGCTGATAGTATGAACGCGCTAACGAGTACAAAAAATCAGCTACTGCATATGAAAACGTTACCTCAATTTAGTCTCCCTAACCTCAAATAACAAAGGAATCAGATTTGCGATTTCTAAGATCGGGTTGAATAAAAAGACGGTATTGTGCAGTATCTTGGGGTATTTTTACCAAGCCTTTGTTTTTTTTTTTGACTGATTCACCCTGCGAGTTTGCCAAACAAAACAAAACACCTCGATCAGTAAAAGTGGTAATAACTAACTAGTTTCTTCTTTTCTGTCTTATTCGTTATGCGTGGCTATGGAGACTTAGAAGAATGTGGACTTGATTTATTTTTGTACGCTTTTGTTCTCTACTGACAGGTATTCAATAAAAAATGATGATAATTTTATTTCAGTTGTCGCCACTAGACTCGCTCTGTTTTCAATTACAGCTCGCCCAAGCTGAAATCTTTAGCCGCAAATGCCGGAACGTTCATGTTGGCAGGGAAAACGCTAAAAGAGGTTAGTGCCAGAATATTCCAAGAATGTTCAACAGTTGACCACCTCCCAAGAAATCCGTTTAACTCGCGTCGCTTCAGCTATTGCTAAATTCTTTCTTTTCAAATACCGGCCCCAGCTGGCTTGACGCCATGGACTAGCTTTGTAATCAGAAGTTATTCCAGGCACATAGTATCATTCAATCACTCAGTAACCCTCTTAATAAAGATACCGTTCTTGTGATAGCGATATCTATGAAAATTGCGAAAAATTCTCCCTGAATAAAGCCTTTCTTGGCGCATATATTCTCGGCGGAGGGATTGGCATAATATTGAAAGGAATTTTGCCTTCCTCAGAAAGGCTTGTATGTACAAGCGACATTTTTACTAAAAGATCTCAGATGTGTTTATTAATACCGCAAGGTAAAACGCTCTCAGTTAGAATAATGAAACGAAACCCAAGCCAGACTGTAACGTCCATGAATGAACATCAAATAAATAAATTTAATATTTAGTGAGGAAGCCGCATCAACCCTCGGAGCAAGGCAAGAACCAACAACAAACTCAACCCACGTATGACACCGGGCCGAAATCGAACCCGGGTTACTGTTGGTGGGAGGCGAGTGCACTCGCCACTGTGCAAACCCTGCTCCTCATCAAAAGTCTCTGAATAAACGGTTATTGTTAATGGTAAGATCAAATAGTTATTCAAAACTAGTTATACAGTAGGGTCAACAAAGTCACGAGGAATAAAACTAAATCTAAACTCATGATTAGCCCATGGGCAAAGTGGACACATATTTTCACAGATTACTCTTCTGTATCGTGTTTTTAGCCTAACTAGCTCTGATCTGTAGTTCTTTGTATCTGTTTGCAGGCAAAGCGCATGGTGGAATGTTTCTTTGATCGCCTGACTCCCAACAGAAAAGCCAGGATAGAACTCAACACACCCTAAATCGCCCGCGCTATTCAAAACAGGGCCAAGGGCAAGCATACAAAATGTGAGCGGATCTAGACAATTGTGCGGCAAGAATTCGTGTTAAATAGATCCATTTGTGTCGGCGGATTAGAAAGCAATTGCTGGAACATCAACTTGAATGGCTTGCCGGATATCTAAATCTGTACACTTTACTTCTTCTTTGATGGTGCCAACTAACCAACCCACGGAAACATTAAGAATCCGATGTTCGACACTTATCCTTTCGCAGACAAACCATTTGTTTACCTGGAGTCAAAATAGACCTTCATCGTGTAAAATTTCGTAAATTCTAAGATTTCGACCGTTTGTGTGGCCTCCTTCTCTCGAAAATTTTCCCCACCCAAGTATACGTTTGTGTAGGACGGTCTGGCGATTAATTTTGGAACGGTTATAAACAACCGTTCGCCGGATTCGATAGGAAAATGGCACACAGTCAAAATCAAAACCTATTGAGTACCTACCCCTCCCCCTAACCTCCCCTTGTCCTCCCCTTGTCCTCCCCTTGTCCTCCCCCTATCCGCCCCTATCCGCCCCTATCCGCCCCTATCCGCCCCTATCCGCCCCTATCCGCCCCGCGGCCCGTTTCTCGAATTCGCCGGAGACTTTTCGGGCCCGCAAAACCATTTTTTTAGTTTAAATCTGTATCTAAAGAGGTGTATACGCCTGAAACTTCTTATATGAAGAGAACCTCTGTTCATATTAAGAATATGTGAATAAAACAGCTCTGTAACTTTCCGGCTGCGACCACTTTTCGGGGCCTTCGAGAAATGGGCCCCTGGTTTGCATTTACATCCAAACATCTTCACTCGCTTCTCTTCCCCTCGCTCTGTTTACGCGATTTCCTTATGGCCGGTGGACTATGTATATACAGTCAGCTCCATTGAGTTCGAGTGCTTGTCCTTGAATGCCACTTGAAAAGAATTCACGCATCGTTTCCCGTCCTTTTGTAACGAGGTAATCAAGTTTTTTCCCGAATGACGGAGATGCATTCTTGTGGTTTGGGCCTCTTCTGCTGGTCAAGCTTTTTTTTTTTCAATGGCAGTATTTGAAAAGTGCTTCTTATTTATGAGCTTTTCTTAAATTGGATGTGTGGTTTATCTTGGAGAGTATTTATATTTGCACCCTTGATTGTTGTACAACAGCTCGATGAATTAGCCCTTAGTATCGAATTCATGCGCTTCGCAGATTAGCATTAAAGTAATTCAATTTTTGTACGTGATAAGGCGCATTTAGCCTTTGTATATTTTAGTAAAATGCATACAAATAAACACAAAAACGTGTTAGTTGGCGTCTTTTATCGAGGGTCAGTGATTTCACAGTCATCTTACATATGTAGCTTGTTCAATTGTTTAAAGGGAGACGAAAAATAGTGGCGGTTATATTTTGTCTACCGTATCACGAAGCCCATCAAAACACCCACGGCTTGAAACCGAGCCGACAGTATCATGACTGTTTGAATTTTTGTGTGAATTCTTAGATGCTTTCAATCTTAAATTTACAAGTAAATACACCAATACTATATCAGCAGATTTATCGATGGCGCATTTGACAGTGGAACTTCCATCGATTTATCAGGCTGAAATTCAGATACCTGTATTGATCCTCAATGGAAACCAATCGGTGAAATGGAAAAGTGAAAGCGGACATTGTCTAGCTAAAAAAGAGATTGAATTTAGGTTAATTTTATGCTATGCCTGCTTTAGAACTGACTAAACGTGTAAGTATGCCATGCCAATACTATCTTCAGTACAGTGACTACTTTATCTCCATAGAAAGCTAGTGATTAATGTTATCTTGAAAATATACGTAAACCACTAACTATGCGTAAACGAATACGATAAGAAGCTCAACTTAGCCGATAACCCCCTTTTCGGTAAGCTTAAAAATTTGGCAAACCTTTGAACGGATAGATAACTCGGAGTTGTTTGTCAAAGAGGTGAAAGAGACTTTATTTCCTCCAGAAATGAACACAGGTCCGCTATCAATAAATCTGTACAAGAGTTAATATACCATGTTGATATTATCAAGAGTTTAGTGAGTTCTTTTTATAGCAGCCGTTCGCAATATTGTGATGGGGGAGGGGGGGGGAAGGAATCACTCCCAGACGAATCGGGTGGGGGTGTGCGGCTCGCTTCCCAAAACCCTTAACTTATTTGAGACCAAAATCTGTGATTTTCCCTACCTTATTTATGACCTGACCTAAACTTTGATACCCCATTTCAGACCTGTCCCTTAAATCAGTACCCTGTTTCAGACCTGACTTATAATTAGTAACCTAGTTCAGATGCATTGTGGAGGGCTTTTGTTGATGGTCATCGTTAATGATGAAAAAGTAGCTTCTTCTAAAAAAAAAAAAA